CTGTGTATTCATATTTTTTTTTTAAATTTCTGAGCCAGAGAGCCAGGTTATGGATAGGATAGATTATGAAAAATCAGGGTTACAGGTAATCAAATGAGGTCCAAAAAGGTGAATGCTATTTTGGTACTTCAAGCCAGACAGGCTTCAGAGGGTCGCTCAGAAGTCAGCAGTGTCTTGGGAAGAGGAAAGCATTTTCACTCAGTGGCTTCACACCTTGAAGTTAGCCAAAGGCAGTGTCTCCTCATTGAGTCCCAGCCCCAGCCACAGAACAGCGCAGGACTTCCCGAAAGATCAGAGTCCAATCCCAGCTCTGCTGCTTATTTGACAACTTACTTGTCTTCTCTAAGACCCAGTTTACTGATCTGTGAAGTAGGGCCATTGTTCAGGCTGCAGAACTGAGTGGATGTATGACACTGGCAATTGCTGTTTATGTATTCAATGAGTGACAGGGCTTCAAATTCGGCAAATTACCGTAACCTGCGGCCACTGCTACTTAGGAAGCTGCCGATACCTGTCCTGATCCTGTCTGATAGATTAGAATGTGAAGCTTGGTGTTGATGGCATCTAGCTGTATGGTCATTCCTGCTACAATGCCTGTCTTAGGCTCAGTTTCCCCATGTGCCTGTCTCTGTAATTGATGAGAGTCAGATGCATGCATAGGAAGAAGGGGCTTGGTGCAGAGTCTGCTTTGCAATGAGGCTCCCATAGGTGAAAACTTTATTTATGTTCACTTGGTGTTTCCAATACATCAGGAGTTGGTCTCTGTGTCTCTGACTGGCTCTTGGAAAGTTCAGGTGGAGTGATGGAACAGGTGTTCTGCATATGCCTCAGCTTGAGATTTCAAAGAGGAGTAAAACAGACTCAGGCAGAGCGAAGGGGGGCATATTCAGAGGGATGAATTCAGGGACAATCACCAAGCCCAGTGGAAGTTAAAAGCTGGCCTAGAAAATTCACAGACAAATAACTGTGTCTTTTTTTTTTATAGAAACTGAGGCCAAGGAACACAAAGATGGAGACTGAGATCTAATCCAGGAAGCTGCCCAAAGCCTGGCCAGGTAAGATGAAAGCTGAACAAGTAGCAAGAGTTTGCAAGATTCTTACCTGTGCCTTCTTTTCTTGGAGAATGACCTGATTGAAGAGAAAAGCGAGTGGGGTAAGGAAGGAGAGAAGCAAAGACAGAGGGAGAAAGAGAAGGAGAGAAAAGAGGGATGGAAGAAAAGGAAGGGAGGAGGAGGAAAGAAGGGAAGGAAGACAATAAATATGGATAAGTTTGGGACTCTGCTTGTGGCAGGAAGGCATCACTGTGCTTGGGATTAAGCTAACTAGGGATCAGGTCATATAGGATACCTAGGGATCAGGTCATGTAGGATACCTATGGGTCAGGTCACGTAGGATGCCTAGGGATCAGGCCATGTAGGATGCCTAGGGATCAGGCCACGTAGGATGCCTAGGGATCAGGCCATGTAGGATGCCTAGGGATCAGGTTATGTAGCCAATCTTCCTCCTCTATCAGATTTTAAAGAATATGGAGATGACATATTATTGATTTTCATATTGAATATTCAGGCTAAATCTGGCCAATGCTCTAATCCTTTCTCAAAATTGTCAGCAAGCCTGTCCTGGATGAGGCTGGATGAGTGGACTATAAAAGAATCCTCTGCCTCCTCTTCTCTCTCATCTCTCTTCCTTATTGTGGAATATTTCATTCTCCTCCTCCTCCTTCTCCTCCTCCTCTTCATCACAACCACCATCATGATGAGACTCCCTGCTTCTCACTGTGTGCTGGGTTCTGCATTATGCATCCATCACACACAATCTTATTTAATCTTTCCTCAGACTCTACAGAGCACTACCAACAAATATCTTCCCAGACAAAAATACTGAAGCTCACCTGTGTGTTGGTGAGCTGCCCATGGTCATACTTTCCCCAGTAGAGGTTCTACTCATTTTTCAGAGCTACCTTCACTCTCCTCACTGAGCATTCCCTAGCATTTTTTTAGTCCCTCCCCCTGACCGATACCTCCTCTTTGTTCCCTCAATCTCCAGGAGAGTTTCTAAACTTATTCTTATCAGAGACCAGTCTTCTGCCCATTACCATCACCAGTTTTCCGCACTAGGGCATGAGCAATTTGGGAGTAGGAGCTGGGTTTTGGTCACTGTTTCTTTTTGGGTTCTGGAATCTTTATTCATGGTACTATGAGGGCTCAGTAAATAGATATGAAAAATGAGATTTTTGCAAAAACAGCTCTCAAACTCTGTTACTTGAGAGAGGAAAAAGATCCATGCTTCCCCTATTCCTAGATCCACTTTTAAGAAAAAAAGTCAACCATCATTAACCAAGTATGGTATGAAACTGGAGAAGCTGGATCAGGAGCAGGGAGATGCTTAACAGGTGAGGGCTTGGGAAGGACATGTGCTAGTATTCCCCATCATCTTTGTCTTATGAAGCTCCAACACTTTGACTGCTGCAGTGGGCAGAAAAGGTCTATTTATAACCTTGTGGCAAATTTCTTTTTCATAAGAAGAAACTCTTTGTTGAGAGGCCACCTGGCTTCCAGGATCCTCATATTGAAAAGTCGCTCAAACTGGTATGGATCATTCAGCCTTGGAAGATGATAAAATGTCTACACTCATAGGCATGGCATTGACTCTACTACTATGGACCTCTGTAGAAAGATTTCTGATACTAAATCAATAAGATATCACTAATTTCCCTATCTCTTGTATTCATTCACCAATCTTGCCATCTCTTGTATGAACCCCGAACTCAGAAAACATCCATAGAAAAGTCTGTACAAGCAATGGAAATGACCAGTGAGATCTGAGTTCAAGGCATTTGAGCAATACAGGCCAAGAGAACACCAACCCTTGACTTGGGAAAAGCCACACTGGAGACCCTCTGAAGTAGGCATTAGATGCAGAGGGAAAACCCAGTGATATCTTACCTTTGGTTCCATGGTTAGTTGTGTAAATCATTCACAATACAAGTAGTAGAATTAGAAGGCAAAAAGAAGCAAAATAAAATATAAGCAACCCTTTCCTATTATCCGTAGCTAACTAGTGGGCTTGGGAAATGTGTGTCAGAGAGAACAGGCTGGAATGCTGCCCCTTCTGAATGCACAGTAGCTACTTGGTGTCAGGTGATGGCTGCCTATGGGAAATAGCCCATGAAGACAGAGTTTTCTGTACAGAGGAACTGTGACACCAGATTTTCCCACTGCAAAGTCTCCCAAGTATAACATGGCCTATGAAACATGACTAGAGCCCCCTGGTGGCTTATGTCTTAGCGCCCCCATCACTATCTTCCAGTTCATTATGCCCTGCTCCCTCATTGAAAAGGGTGGGCCATCTAAGCATCCATATTTTCCAACATGACAATATGATCCAGCCTACTATGAAGCAGATGCCCGCCCCCTTACCATGAGAAGCCTCTGCTTGGGAATTTGGAATGTGGAACAACATAGGGAGTTCAGGGTCTGCTTGTGGGTTGACCTACAACATGGAGAGATGGGACAGGGAGTGACCTTGTCCCCTCACATGGACCAGGAAGCAGAGGAAAACCCTGGATGCTGTTTGACTTCTACAAGCTCTTTACTCTTTGGTCCCTGTCCCCCACACAGGCATGATTGGTCCCTGGGTCTCTCCTGGCTTCTTCCCCCCTTCTGGCTCCAGGTAGCTTTAGGTACCTTTGGTCCTCCCAAATATAGTCCTAATTTCAAGACACAAATAAACAACAAAATATTGATACAGTAAATGCCCTACATAAATGGCATGAGAAGCTTCCAAATGACCTTTTGATGCGCCCACCTCTATCCAACCTGGGTCAACTCCATCTGCAGAGGGGAAGAGGGCAATACCTGCGTCGCTTATGCTTCTTGGAACTTTTCTTCTTCTTTTTCTTGACAGGTGATGGACTATAGGATGGGGACCTGTAGAGAGGAAGACATACTTCACAGGGAGGCTTCTAGAATCATTCCAGCAACCCCTATCCAGGATCTTGGCTCTTTGAGAACCACCCATCAAGGGTCATTTCAGTACTGACAGTAGTTTGCATTTGTCTTAAACATTACCATATAGTTTATATTCAGTATTTTATCTAATCCTTCCATGAACTTGTTAGATAGGTAAAATTGCAACCCTCTATTTTTAGACAATGAAAGTAAGGTCTGGAGAAGTGAAATGACCTTCCTAAAGATGCAGAGCTAAGAGCTGGTTGAGCTGGGATTTGAGGGGAAATCTCTCATCTTAAGGAGTTTGCTCTCTTGGCCTGCTACGGCCCTCTTTACATATTCGGTGGGTCTCCCCTCTACCTCACTCTGATAAGACTTATCTATTTGATAAGGCTAATTCCCTGGACAAGCTCCCACCAAGTGGTCATAGCATAGCTGCTTAGGTATCTGAGCGAAAAGCTGCCATGAGCTCTCGGTGACGGCTCAGTAACCCAAGCTTCAATTCTGAGTCTATCACCATCAGACAGAGTCACCTTGGGCACCCGACAGCTGGTCTCTAGGTCTGTTCCTCTCCCCGGTGACAAAAGATCAGGATTGGGATGGATGTTGCAAACTCAATGCCCATGGGAACCTCTCCAAAACACACAGCAGGCTTGGTGGAAGACTGCCGGGAGTGGTGGGGGCTGCAAGGTTCCAGGGAGCACCTGACCAGAGAGGGGCAGCTGCTTCTCCGATCAACCTAGTGTCTGGTGTGGGAATGTGGGCCTTGGATTTCCAAAGTATCTGCCTTTTCATTGGAAACCTCCAGAAATCCAAAATTTTATATGAAATCGTCTGTTTTTTAAATGTCAGCCACTAACTAAAAAGAAAAAAAGAAAAACGGTTTGCAGGTCAAACACAGTGTGTCATCAGAGAGAACTGGCTGGGGAAGAACTTGTCCCTTAAGGGATCAAAGCGTCTGCCCCTAAATATGTGCTCGGTGAACATTACTGAATGAAAAGCTGGTGAATCCTAAAGATCTGTTTCCTTCTTTGAACTACCAATTCCTAAAACCAGGAAACTCAAGCCACGTGCTTGAGTTTATTTCCTACCATACAATGGCTGGAACTCAGAGTCCTCATTCGAGTCCTCTCTGGGTCCACTTTGGACTTGTCCTTTTAGAATTGGACTAATGGGGTGTCCAGGGAGCAGGGTTCCGGAAAACCTAGCGTTGAAGCCAAAATGGTCCCGACGTTGCTCTCTGCTGCCCCCTGCAGGTTTCTGTAAACACTGCGCCCAAGGCTTTATGGGATGCTTAGCTGGAAGCCCTAGATAGGGGGCTAAATCCTAGCCCTCTGGGGCTGAAAAGCTGAGACATGTTTTTAGTCTAGTGAGTGACAACCCACAAGCAAAGCTCAAAATATTTCATAATGCAAGAAGTTGAAAAGGAGTGTTGTATAGAAAAAGAATGTATAGAGCACAATATAGCCACCAACTGCCAAATAATACGAAGCCCACCCATCATTCTCTAGGCATTTAACCTGTAGGTGGGGGCAGTGGAAACAACCTGAGAACCCGGGAGTCAAATCCTACAGACTATGGCCGTCTCTCTGAGTCCTTCCTTTCTCATCGCTATAATTGTTGCCTGGTAGATCCTGGTCAGGAGTAAAAAGATAATACAGATAAAAAGTGCTTAGCATAATCCTTTGCACTAAGCCAAGTACTCAAAAAAAAAAAAAAATTCAGCATTTGTGGTAATGACTCCACTCCACATTAAATAGTCATTTACTATGTGCTCGGCACTGTGACAGCTGTTTCTGCATCCACTTCTCAACGAATGCTCACAAAACCCCAAGTGGCAACTACAGTATTTTGTAGAGAAGGAAAAAGACCCAGAGAAATGAAGTCCAAGGCCATGCAGCTAGTTACAAGGCATATAGGGGATCTGAACCCAAAAGGGGAGACAATGTTGGACTTCAGAAGCAGTATTATTTGTCCCCCTTGTGTCTTTAAGGTTTCCTCTCCTCTTTTGAGCTCACCTCCTTCTCTTCTTCCGGGTTGATTTTTTCTTTTTCTTCTTCCCCCTGGAGGAAGGCGGTGGAGTCAAGTCTCTGTCCCGGGAGGCACTGTGGAGAGCAATACATGTGGCATCAGAGGGCCAAAGGTTCCCCAGCCTGGGACTCTTGCAGCCTAGGAAGGAGGAGGACCCAGCTCCGTGCAGGGTGAGGGACCCACAGTGAGTCCCTAATTAGCACCTCCTGGCTGACTCGGTCACATTTTAGATTAACTGCCTCAAATAAAGGCTTAGTGTCAACCCAATGAGAAAGGACACTGTATGTTACCCAAACACCAATTGATTATTTAAAACAGAGTTGTAGAGGTTAACTACTTCTTAATAGATTTATTATTGAATTTGCAAATGGCTCACCTTGGTAAATAAATCACTTTTTAAATAATTAATTGGCAGTTCAGCCCCTTCCCTCCCGGATCCATCCTGTCTGTAGTTCCTGTTGGAAATTTAATAGGAACTGGAAAGTATGTTAAGTAGCAACTGATTATTAAAAGTGTATTTGCCAAGGTCTCATGTAATGAGATACCTATCTTATATCACTTACGGAGCCTCAAAAAAACTGCTCTTCAGGAATAATTATTTCTTGTTAAATTAAATTCAAATGCTCAGGCTGTAGTTAAATGAAGTCAAGTTATCTTCTTTTATAATTGGGGCAGGCTCCAGGGATTTTTTTTTTTTTTAAAAAAACATTATGCCATAGCAAAGAGAGATGATTTGGGATAAAAAATTGTGAGGGATTGAAGCATGCCTACTCAGTTGAACCTTATGGGAAAGCATATCATTAATAATGTTGTCACGGTTTTAATAGCAGCTAACCTAGTACATATGCATTCGTCTGTAAAGAGTCTTATGTGTTTTGATATTCATAAAAAAGTCTTGAGGGTGGTATTTTTGCTGTCTCATTTTACAGATGAAGAAAACCTGATTCAGAAAGTTGAACTGACTCATCTATGACCACAGAATTAAGAATTATCTGAACTGAGGGTCGGCCAAATAGCTCAGCGGATTAAAGCACCTGCAAGCAGGTGCAGGAGCCGGGAGTTCGATCCCCAGGCCTGCTGTGCTGGCCCCACCCCCCAGGGCAAGCTGACACGGCAACTGAGACAGGGTGTGGTGGTGCGCGCCTGTAATCCCAGCTCGTGGGAGGCTGTAAACAGGCGTATCACTACAAATCCAATCCAGTAGTGAGACTCTAAACACCCTGTAGACCCTTCCCTAAAATTAAAAAAAAAAAAAAAAAAAGAATTATCTGAACTGAGACTGATACCTAGGAGATTTGTGCCCTGAAAGCGTCCTCAGAAAACCAGCTGCTTTCTTAAACTTGTTTGTGTGGTCAAAGCTAGAAATTACCCAACTCCTTAGAAATCATCATAAAATGCTTCCATATTTAATTTTATTATAAAAATTGGGTCAGTAGGATCAACAGAAAAATGAGAAGATCTTTTAATCTCCAGTAAGTGTATGTGTGTGTATATATATATATATATATATATGTTATATATTATATGTTACATATTATATATACAATACATATATATGTACATATACATACCTATGCATATATAATACTTCCAATAGAGTCACTTATAGCAGGTTAAAAAATAAGTATTGAAAAGGCCGGGGAGATGGCTCAGTGGAATAAGCGCTTCCCTGGCAAGCGCAAGGGTCTGAGTTCAATCCCCGGTTCCACAAAAAAAAAAAAAAAAAAAAAAAAAAAAAAGTATTGTAGGAATGAAATACCTAACTACTTAATCCCATTTACACAAAGAATGGTGCCCATAGCCAGGAAGCAAGCAGGGCTGCTTCAAAGAAATGTGGTGGGCCACTTTCAGATTTTTTTCTCCAAAGAGTGCTTGACAGAGAGCAAGAGTCTAATAAATATCTGTCAAGTGACCAAATGAGGGATGAATGGAGAAGTAATTTAGCTACTTGTTCAACGGTCATGTTCATATGCACATTCCCCAGTGCAGCAGCTGCCAGGAATTGGAAAAGAAAAAAAAAAGGGAGAAATACTTAAGAAAACAAGTTTAAAAGGTATTTAAATTATGTCTTGTAAAATGTAGAAAGATTTCCCACTGTTTTAGTCAAGTATTCTTAGCTTCTGTACCCCACAGTTCCAGGGGAGCCTAATTTGAGAACCACTATCTGAGAATTAGCTTTAAGTTATGGAGAAACACTGAGAAGGTTGTTAAATTTGGACAGATTTGCAGTACATGAGGTAATTAATCCACTCTTTCAGTAATTCCTGAATTTCCTTGCCCTGTTATTCGCTTCTTCTACTTCTTCCCCCTGTACTAGTTCTCCTACGTGTGTACCATGGAGTGTTGGAGAGGGCTTGCTCATGGCTCACAATACCATGGGCGTGTGTGTAGAGGTTCCACAAGCAATCAGTGCTTGTGTGTGCTGTGGTGACAGGTACAACGGTTGAGTACAGTGATTATTGACAGGTGGAGTGGGCAAAGGATAAGTGTGCATGGATGACAGTATTCAGTGGTTATATACTGTAGTAGTGCACTGGTTATGTATGCAGGGATTATTCATGTGTTGGAGTTAAATCAAGAATAATCCCCATGGATGTGGTGACACACACCTGTAATCCCAGCTCTTGGGAAGGTGAAGCAAGAAGATTGCTGTCACTTTGAGGTTAGCCTAAGCTACATAGTGAGTTCAGGACTGGTCTGAACTAAATAGTGAGACCCTGTCTTTAAAAAAAAAAAAAAGAAAGAATTACCCCCAAAACTCTCAAGCCCTCAGAAGTGGGGCTTTGGGGAGGAGGTGGGTGGCTGATTCAGGAGTGTGTTGCTGCAATGGTGGATTCACCTCCTGGTGAGCTCAGAGGCTGAGTGTGTTGGGAGGTGGGTCCTGATCAGAACAGGTGGCTCACTGGGGCTGTGACCTGGAAAGGTGTATTTGCCTTTCCGGCTCCCTCCTTTTCCCTCTACTTCCTGGGTGCCATGACCTGAGCCAGGCCCTCCCACCTCATCATCCCAGCCTGGAAGCCTGCCAGCCATGGAATGGACCCACTGAAACCGCGAGCTGAAATCAGCAACCCCTGTGAATTGTGGGTGTTGGGTGTCTCAGTGCTGAAAAGGAGATTACTCTGCAGATTCAATACACAGCGGAGAAGAGTGCAGTAGGGACCATGTAGCAGTGGGGGGTACTGACTCCAGAACCTGATGAACCGATTCAAAGTTTGGTTCTTCTCTGAGTTTAATTTTCATCATCTAAAAGTTGAAAATAAGATGTGGTTGCGGTATCGTAAGTCGTTTCCAGGAATAAGGAGCTGACTTGTGGGATGGGCTGTGGCCCATCAGAGTGTGTTTACAGGCAGAGGGTCTTTTGTTACAGTCATGCGCCACATAAGGACCTTTCGATCAGTGCCGGAGAGTGGTCTCATTAGATGATAATGGAGCTGAAAAACTCCTATTGACTGGTGACATCAGCAAGACGCATTACTCGTGTGTGTGTGTGTGTGTGTGTGTGTGTGTGTGTGTACCGATGTCAACAACCCACCATGCTGCCAGGTATACAGAAGTACAACTCCTACAATTATATATACTATAATAATATTTGACAATGAGAACAAATTACTGTTTAGGGACATATGTATTCACTACACTATATGTTTATCTTTAGAATGTATTCCATTTAGAAAAAGAAAGTTGTACTGCAAAACTGTATGCTGTGTTAGGCCAACACAACCCCGTAATTTTATATTTACCTCGATTTTTTTTCTTGTGACTGATTTACTCTTGTGCTCTTCTACCAGCATGGCCCCACTAGAGCCTGAGTGTGTGGAGGATGTATCACCTACATTTGTGTAAGGCACCCTGGCATGTTCCCACAATGTTGAAAACTTTCAAATACTAATTAATCACAATGTATCCTTGTCATTAAGTGATGCATGACTGTAGTATATTTACGATTTTTATTATGACTATTAATATTATTATCATCATTCTTGTGATTTTGTAACACATCAAAGAGTCAGTCACAGATAGAAGGGATTAGGAGGCCCGGGTGCTGTGTAACCGTGTTGACAATATGGCAGCAATTTTCAGATTTCGTGTCCAGAATGGCTTCCTGAGACTCCAACTATGATTTTTTAAGACCTTCCAATGCTCTAGATCCACCACAGGGACCTGTGTGTTGCCTGACCTGATTTAACCCTCTCCATGCCCTTGAGAGTGAGATTCTAATATTCCCTCTTTATAGTTATGAAAACTGAAGCCCAGTGAGAATGGAGAGTATTCCCATGTGCATTCAGTGGTAGAGTTCAAATGCAAACACAAGGCTCTGCCATACACAGACTTTCCTCAGGCCATCCTAGGAGATGTCGTCTTAAACGTTCAAAAATCCCCTTCCTCCTCTCTGCTCTCTCCACCTCCCTCAGCCTCTTACAGAAACAGCTCTCTCCCCGTTTCCATATCCTGTTCAGATATTGAACTTCACTTCTGAAGAGCTGGCCCAATTTAACTGTTTCTCCTTCATTAAAACCAAAGCCAACAGTTGAGACAACATGGGCTGAGGGTCGGTGAGGGGGTTGGGAGTGAGAGCCACAACTTAATCAGTGACAGCTACTCTGCCCTCAAAATTCATTTAACTAGGAGGTCTCTGTTCATAAGCCTCTGGGGTCTATGAACCTCCTAAAATACTATGCAGAATTTTAAGGGTGTTCTTGGAGCACTAAACATTTTTTTTTTCCTGGAGGTAACACCCACAGCTTCCATCTAATTCCCAGGTAGATACTCAGAGTGGTTTTAAACCTCTCTGCCTTAGTAAATCAAGAGCTCCAGGACGGAAGGAGAGAATTTAAGCCATGGTCACGGTCCTCAGGCTAATCTCAGTCCTGCTACCAATTACCCTAAGTTTCCTCATCTCTAAAATGGCTTCAGTGCTCTCTGACATCCCATCAGGAAGCAGGACTCCAGATTCATTTTCAGCCTGTCAGCAGGGTTAAGTACAGACTCTGAGCACATGAGCATGGTGGGTTTCTAGGGAAACGGACGTCAGGCTTTAATCCAGCTGATGAAGCTGCATTATAAAGATAGTATATTCAGATTCTGCACAGGTCAAAAACATGCCATGTCTCTCTATGTATGACCAACAAAATTGTAACGTAGAAGGAAGTAAAGAGGCTGAGCTTTCATTAGCATCTACAGGACAATGTGGTGGGTGTTAGTCTAGGGTTTAAGATCAAAGAGACTAGAGCTCAAAGCTTCACTTTGCTACTTACAGACTGCCATATATTGGACAAGTCAGCTCTCGCCTCTCGGAGCATCAGTAAGATGCTGTGTCATCAGTTGCCAGCACTGTATTTAATAAATACAGGTATCCAAAAAGTGGTGGGTGAAGAACTGAACTAAGGAATGAATACAAAGATCTGAATCCAGGAGGCAAATCTGGGCTGAATTATGATTTAGGAATCAAAGGCTAGTAGAATCATTAAAATGGAGGGGAGTTCTTTCATTTAAGGTGGTGGTCAACGAGCTCTGACAATGAGTCAAACGTGGCCTGCTTCCTGTCTTTATAAATAAAGTTTTATTGGAACTCAGTATGCCTGTTTGCATAATACGTACAGTAGATTTTGCACCACAACTACAAAGTTGAGTAGTTGTGACAGGGACCATCAGGTCTACAGATTTGAAATACTTACTGGCCCATCGTAGAAAAAAATTACTAATCTTGATTTAAGGATATGAAAGAGGAACTTGTAAAAGAGAGAAGAGGAGTGGTCAGAAAGGCAAACGTCATTACTGCATCTTCAACTTGAACTCTTCCACTGGAGTGGAGCGTAAGGGAACAGCATCTCACCTGTGTGCTCTGGCAAGGCCCAGTTCCCGACAGGCCTTGTCTCTTTCCCAGCTGTTGGTGCCCAAGGCCTCAGTGGCCAGACGTTGGCTCAGCTTTTCTGATCCACCTTGGGCTGGGACCATGGGGATGCCGTGAGTCTCTGTCCTACAAGTGAAAAAATAAGGAGGCAAAGTGTTAGGATATACAGACATACTGTCCATTTAATATTCACTCTATTATTGTTCAGTTTCCTTTACAATTAGCCTTCAGATTACTTTGGCTAATTGCCACTGAGTGGAGTGAGGTACCATTTGCAATTCAAGGCAATCAAACCAGCTCTCTTTTCTTTTGCCACAGTGACCATGAATGTTTTCTCTTCAGAAAGGTGACGCTCCCTGATGAAGCAGAGAAGCCAACCATCCACACTTTACAAGAGAGAAATAAACCTTAGATTAAGCTATTCACATTTCAGGGTTTCTTTGTTACTGCAGGATTTCTTACACCCTATCCTGGAAACAACCAAGAAATGCTGGGAACCGGCATTTCATTTTCTTTCTCAATATACAATTATAGGCCTGAGCTTGATACCCTTAGCTCAAAGGACATTTTGCCACTTCTATTGCATTTTTTTGCTTTATCTCTGCCTTCTTATCTCTAGTTTCACTTTTTGAGGTTTCATTTATCTGTAGTCAGCTGAGAATCTCTCT